TTTCGGTGGTCGCGGAAGCGACCCATGGAGCTATATCTAGAGCCAGGGAGCCAGCCTGGGAGCGAATGGGCGGCGAGGACGTCTGTGTGTGGGGTGGTGTATAGTCAACGAATGAAGAGTAGGAGGACGAGTGAGGTGAGTGCCTGCACGTCCACTATGTTGCGCGACGGATTTTATAGCTACATACCTTCCCTTGTGTGTGTCTGGATGGATGGATGGATGTGGTTGGTGCAACCAAACCAGCAGAGTCGGACCAGCCGGCAACTCTGTGTGTGTCTCCGTGTGTCCGTGCCCCGTACCTGTTGCCTATCACTGACTTTGAATGAGCTTTAACACCTTCCACCCCACCCCACCCCACCCCACCCCACCACCCCAACAATGTCCAGACCAAAGCGGTCGGTCGCAGTGCACCCACATGGAAAAAGCCCCACCTCTCACACGGCATCAATACCTCCATCCATCGCCTCTCAGTAGAGATCCCGATGGAGAGAGAGGCTCAAAATCTCACCCTCATACGTCACCCCCCACCCATCCATCCATCCCCCACACAAAGAAAGCACCACACCGGTTTACACGAAAAATACCCCTCTCCGGGGAAGAAAAGCGGCACATGCATGTGTGGACCGTCAGAAGGGCAGGTCGGCGCTGCTGTTTCTGCTCCGCAAGGCCCACTTGACGCTGTTGAGAAGTGTCGGCACGCCGATGATGGCCAGCGCCGGGGTGAGGGACGGGGAGAAGGGCAGGTCAAGATACAACTGTACACACAGCAAACGCACACACACATCACTTTCACGCTTAGACGGTCCATCTCGTGTGAGACAGTCCATCGGCCGTCTCCCTCCCGCTAACCTACCTCGCCGTATTTGACCGCGGCGGACACTGCCACGGATATGGCTGCGAGTTTGAGGCCGAAGCTGAGGTTGGAGTCCTGCCCGAAGAGCTCACCCAGGTCCTCCCACCCCTTCAAAGGGCTCCCCCCGCCCGCACCTCCACCACTGTACTGGGCGACGGTCGCGCCGTCTGCATAGCACACACACGAACCACAGCCACGTGTGTGTGGGTGGTGTGTTGGAGTGGCGCCTCCCTCCCTCCTTCGCTCGCCTCGACTTACCCGGCAGTCGTGAGGCTTGTTGCGGCTGTGGTTGCGGCTGTGGTTGTGGCTGTGGTTGTGTTTGTGGATGTGTGTCGGTGGCGGGCGTCGGAAGGTTTTTCTCCGATTGCCATATCCGCCAGGCAGCGAGGGCGCAGGTTGTGTCTCCCACGACCGTCAGGAAGGCCTGCACACATAGGGGAAGGAAGCGATAGACACTGCGGTGTCTTTCTGTCTGTCTGTCTGTCTGTCTGTCAAGGTATGCGTCTTGTCTTCGTCTTGGCACCATCTCATCCACCGACCTGCAGCCCGACGAGGAAGTCAAGTTGGCTGGCGTTGTAGAAGAAGTGGTACGTGCACGCGCAGATGCCACTCGAATGAAGCGGCAACATGCTGACACACACACACACACACATCCACCCGCTCCCTGCACCTGTGTTTGTGTGCCCGGTGGGCGTATCCTACCCCCATGTGAGCCCCTTCCAAGCGGGATTCCTTCGCACATCGGCGTACTGCCATATCAGCCCCATGGCGATCAGCCACTCCACCAGCGACGACACGTGGATGGCCCACGTCGGCAACGACAAGGCGTTCCACGGCTCAGGGTGCGCATCAGAAAACACCGACAAGGCGCCCAGCAGCACAGCCACACCCGCAACCACCGAGCTCTCCAGCCTCCTCCCTCCGCCCTTGCTGTCCACCCTCCCAAGCACAGCCGAGGCCGTCACCTCAGCCCAGTCGCCCTTCTCCCCACTCACTGTCGCCGTCACTCCCTGTTGCACTTGCTGCTGCTGCCGCACCTCGTCAACAATGGCCTGGCGCATGCCGATAACGATGAGCAGGTTGGTGACGGTGAGGAACGACTCAGCGCCCCCGTGGAGGTAGTCGACGTTGGCGAGCTTCTCGTTGTACCAGACCTTGGCAAGGATGCCAGCGGGAATGGTCATGCCCACAAACACCAGCAAGAACTGGAAGCCGAAGTTGGCCAGCCTCGGCATCCGCGTCTCGGGGCGAGAGAGGAACCACAGGAAGGCCAGGTACGGGAAGAGAGAGGCGGCGAACAGCTGACCCGCAATGTCCTCGGCGCTGACCGACCAGGGGTTGACATTCAGATACTCCTGCAGGTCCGCCATCGACGATGCTTGCAGACGCGTCAGCCCCCTGCCGGTGCTGCTGCTGCTCCTGCTGCTGCTCCTGCTGCTGCTCCTGCTGCTACTGCTGGTGCTGTAGGGGTCAGTAGGTGGTGAATGAAGCAGAGAGCCGCTGCTGCGGAGGTCAGGCGGATGCGATGGGTGTGATGGGCGATGTTTGTGCGGAGTGATAGATCTGCTGACGCGATGAGCGCTCTGCTGAGGGATGAAGCCGAGCGGTCGTCGTGATGCCGATGAGACAGTGGCAGCCACACAGAGGGACCCAAGGAGCACAGAACGAAAGCCGCCAAACATCGTCTGTCTATCTGGCGGACAAGGACGGAGATATGGATATATGGATGTATGAATCCGATGCGTCTTCTCTGCAGCGCAGTGCGAGCTCTGCGTGGGGCTTCGGGGTTTGAAACCCTGGAGGGAGCAGGGACCGAAACCCTGGAGCGCACGCGAAGGAATGATGCATTTGTATTTCCGAGTCCTCGCCTTCCTGTACGCTAGAGGGGCAACGAGGGGCACGGATGACCCTCGCGTGTTCATGTCCTTTGATCAGTAGCTTCTGATCTGCTTGTTGATCTGTCCATCTGAGCATCCAGGAAGGTCAGGGACTCGAAGTTCTGCAGGTAGCATGCTTGAGGATTCATCAGCTATCGCTCTGCTGCTGTTCTTTGCAGCATCTCCAGTGAGGACCCTGTGGCCCAATTGCTGTGGCCCATTTGGCCCATCCATCGTTCTCCTAGCTACTCTCAGGGTGAGATAGAAAGGGGGAACGAAGCTCAGACAAAGATCAGCGCGTTTCGCCCACATTCATGTGTGCCTCTGTTGCCTGTCGTGCTGCAGGTGTGCGTGCGTGTCGCAATGACGACTCCCATTCGACTTGATGTCGGCGGCCAGACGGTCCACGTGACCTGGACGACCATCGAGCGGCACCCACAGACATTGCTGGGCCAGCTGGTCGCCAACGAGAACACTGCCGAGTATCAGTGCATCCAACAGGACCTGTCGGTAACGCACGTGCATCAGGGAAGGCAATAATGACGTGCCGCGTGAGAGGCTGCTTGTGTCCTTCTGTTGTGTCGTCTGTGTCTGAGATGTTCATTCCCATATGTGCTGGACTTCCACCGCCACGGCCTGCCCATTTATGTGGAGGCATCGGTCAACAAGAAGGCTGTGCTGCGTGAGCTCCGCTACTTTGGCATCAACGTCGACCAAGACGACATCCGGCTGCCTGAAGGCGTCAAACAGAAGAAAGGGGAGGTGATTCAGGCGCTGGCCAAGATGGCTGTCCATACACTTGTCGTTACATCTACGCGTATCGGGAAACCGTATCGTTGGGAGAGACGAAAAGCTACATGACGATTCTCGAGACGGCTGCTGGCTACTTGGGGCTGAGGCGGCCGAGTGCATCGAGCCCATCCTCACTGACGCCGGCGAGCGAGCGGTGTTCAACGACATGCTGCGGAGTGAGATGCACAAGTGTTACCCACTATTGGATCTTCTATCAAAGTCACCAATAGTGGACCAGAACTGGTTGTGCAGTTTATGTACAAGTGATCCGGACGCGGTTGTGCAGTAAGGTATGTCCTTTCATTCTCAGTGTGACTTTATGCACACATGTGGATGTGATTCACCTGGCGCGTGTCGTCCGTCTGAGCTGGCTTGCCTACTTTGTTTACTGACTTTTTTGTCCAGACTTTTCCCCAGCCAGCATTCACTCAACCAACACCTTCGCTGAGCTGCCATCAGTCATCCATTGTGCCTGGCATGTCTGTGTCGTTGTGTGTCGTTTCTTCCGTGTCTCGGGTGTCAGAGTTTGAGTCCATCGACGGTGTTTTGCATTGCATGGATGACAATGAGTGAGACAATCACGGATATCTACTTGTAACGCCTTTCTGAGACACACCTGGTTTTGATTTGTTCTGCAACAGGAAGAGGTCGACAACGTTTGGTGCTTTTGGTAGTCTAGATATAACCAAGAATTTGGCGTTCGCTCGTGATTTAGCCTCTTCGTCGGGCTCGTCTGGCGTGTCGTGCGAACTGTTAATATACCAGAGTGGCTCGAAATGTCGGCTGGACCATATGTCGCCATCCTTAACGCCCAAGCTGTGAAAGTCGACGTTGCGGCAGGCATATACGCGTGGTCCAGGTCTGCAGACAGACACTTTGCATGTATTGTACACATACCGCTGGCGCCTCTCAACATATCAACATATGTACCTCTCCAACAGCCGACGGAGGGTCTCCATAATGTACTGCTCTACGTTGTACCGCTCTGCTGTCCGCTGAGTAGTCACATGCGGGACCTCATGTGGAATAAAAACACCAGAGACGATATAAATGTCTGCTGCCGCATCCCCGTCTTCTCGGATGCGCGGCAGAAGCAGCTTTCTGCATCCAATCAATATACATGACACACCAATATGCCTTTGCCCCTCCTCTCGCATCCCTCACTTGAGACAGTACATACGATTGATAGTCTTGCTTTGATATTCCCTTTCATTTGGCCGCTGGACGCGAGCTGCCTTGTCGTGAGCATCGTAGAGAGGGTGGTGAAAGCGTAGCGGGCGATGCTGCCCGAGGCATCCATGCAGAGGTTGTGCACATCTTTGAATGCCTCCATCAGTGCGGCTCGTTTGGCGCCGTCCCCTTGTGATTTGATGCAACAGGGGTAACACTTTCATCAGCGGCAGCGCAGGCCCGTCAGCTGTCATCTTAGGCACAATAACCGACGGCGAACAGCGGCTGCGGCAAGGCTGCGGACCATACAGGGTGAAAGCCGATGAAAACTGACGAATACCTGAATGAAAGAACTACCAAATGAGTCATTGAGAGGAGAGGTGGCTGTCCTCTCTCACCTTCTATAAAGCAGACGTTCCGATGACGGAAAGACAAGTGCACACAAGCATAGAGATACGCCACGATACATCAGATTCATCCCCCCCTCTATCCTTTCTGCCCACCAGTGGGATGCCCTGGTATTCCCGGCACGTCCGCTGTGCCATAACACCACCACCGAACCGCACAAGCACATTGAGGGGCGGCGCGTATCCCTTCATGTATCTACACGTATAACACACGCAGCAGCTGGTGCTTCTGTCTCGTCGAGTGCAGACCACCGTTCTTCATCGTGTAGTTCCTGCCCCTCTGCATTCACATAATGAGCGCTCCACCAGCCTGGTTGATCAACTCGAACAATTCATTCACCTGAGACACAACACCGGCAGCCCCACAAGTCGTAAAACCAATACTGGCAGTATCGTGTCTCGGCTGGCATACGTTGTCTTCTAGATCCGGTGAACCACCTCATTGCCCGCTCTCGCAGGGGTCTCTAGGAGATGCGAGAAGTCTCTAGGAGGCCTCTAAAAGGCCTCCGGCCATCGCTGGCCTCCTCAACGGTCGCTTCAACAGCGACGAAAACATTGAAGCTTCCATTTGTTTTGGCCATGTTCTCTTCCATCTCGTACATGTTCTCCGCTGCTGCAGAAAGTGCACTTGCTTGTCAACAGGGTTGGCGCAGAGAGCCTTGAGAGCGTTGTAATCGACGCGAAGCAGCACAGCATGGTCGGGCTTGGGGCCATTACCTCGCAAAGCGGGCACTCTCGCAGCCTCGCAAGAGCCCCTGCGAAGATGCCGTCGCATGCAGACCTTCGACAAGAGAGACAGGGAAGGTGTGTTCGATCAGCCGCATCTAATCTTCCATTTGGACGTCTATCTGGAAGTTTAGGCTGTTGACCAGGTCTTTGAGAGTATCCTCGTTGAGAGTTTCCTCGTCTCTGGCGCCATGGCTGAATGATTCGGTATGAAGGAGGTCTAGCTGTCTTGTCGTGCGTCAGCCGTTTGCAGTCCCAGTGGAAGTGGCCGTCGTCGAGGCGATACTTGCAGTTGATGGATTCACCATCACCAGCCGCCCGGCGCCCCCGTCGACGTCCATTGGCGTCGTAGCAGCACCGACGCCCATGCTCGCGTCTTGCCCTGGCGATGCCCCGATCATCGCTGCTGCTGTCTCGAGCTTACGCACCCTCTCCATGGCGTCGTCGAGATGTTGGAGGTAGTCCATTCGCTGCGTCAATGTGTGGCCACCGTCGTCGAACACGCGCAACCAGTCCTCTCGCCCCTCGAGATGGGTGTGCGGCTGGTTAGCCTCATTTTCGTCATCCTGCACAAATGCATCCGTACATGCACCGCATGCAAAATACATGATCGGCAGGTCGCCACTAACTACACATACACATGTGATGCATGTCTAACGTTTGAGTCCAAGAGGTAGAGGTCCCGCCCGCTTTTGGCTTCTCCGCCGCTCTTGTAGAAGCCTGCTGACGCTGGCAGCTGAGTCTTGATCGAGCGAAGGGTGAACACCAACTGATCGACAACGCACAAGGGTGCTGTCGCCGAGTCTGTTGGTTGAGTCTACCGTGTGCCTCGTGAAGCCTGTGGCACCCCAATTGGCGCTGTAGCATCCAAGCAGCGCCTCATTGTTGTAGTACCCCTCCTTCCAGTCGGTCGCGCACATCCCGACCATGTATGAGAGGTCTCGGTTCTTGACGCTGGCGCGGTAGTTGGCCTTTGTGTCGATTTGCATCACATGGCGGTTGAGGGACCACATCGGGATATCCACGTGATCAGCGAAGTGGCGGATGACGCCCAGTTTGACCATCTCACGTACACATACTGGAGATGGTCAGAAACACAGAGACATACATGCCAAATCTCTTGCAGGGGTGGCTAGTGGGCGCGCACCTCGAGAGTGACGAGAGGGCCGGGGGTAGTTGAGCGATGGAGCCGAGTGGTGGCGGTGGAGGCATGGTGACGTCCTCGGTCGAAGACCTCTCAAAGAACGTCTGGCCACCACGGAAAAGCAAGCACACACGTGTTTGTCTCCATCTCACTGTTGTCCCTCCATCCAGCCATTACCGACAACATGCCCGCCGAGAATGGTGAAGATGAAGCGGGCCTTGCCGCGGCGTCAGTAGCGGCGCCCTCCGCCCTCCCCGCAGCATCATTCATGGTCACACGAGACAATGCGTACCCCCCTGAGACGCTAGACAACTGTGACAATCAGGCACGAAACCATCATTTAATGACACAACCCATCCGTCCAATGCCTTCATTAACTTTCCTCCGTTCATTAACTTTTCCTCCTCTGCCCGCGTCCGATGGCTCGACGGCTCGCTCGACGCCCTCCTCTTTCCGTACCCCCGCGATGAGACGACAGGAGTCTCTTGTTGTTGGGTGTAATTGTGGTCGACCCCGTGTTCGTCAAGTGATACGCCAGCAGCCGATGGTAGCGGGGGAAAAGTGGGAACGGGGGGCATGTAGGGGAATGAGTAGAATGGGTCGGTCGAGGCCAAGGGGCCATCGGTTGGTGACGGGGCGGCGGTCGTTTGGTTGTGGGTTCGGCGGGCAGCGGGTGACGACCCATCGTAGCTGCCCTCCTCGATCGGCTCGCTTGGCTTGCTCTCCTCGTTGATTGACGCAGAACCAGGGAGTGAATTCGACCAACACTACCGGGGCATCTGGAGATGATGTTGTAGCTGAAGGCGACCTTGTGGGGACGCTTCTGCCTAGATCTCCATTACTCCCCATCCGTCTCAAATTCTCGCCAATTCGTAAATTTCCTGCATCCGGCACCGATTGTTCGCTTGTGCTTTGGCTTGTGATGCCAGGAGCACTCTGCTGTTGTCATCCTCTCCCCCCTCGTGATCCGAGAGTTGGTCTCTTCTGGCTTCAGCTGGGCATCAACATTCTTTGTCCACAAAGAATGCATCCAAAAGCAGCCCATCCTGGAGCTGCTGTCCACCCCTATGTTCCCATGGCTGGACCCACGTCCCTGGGGGTGTGGGAGTGTCCGCTAGGGAAACACACTCCACCACACGCACAATCATTGAGGGAGAGGTCTCTATCAGCACACACACATGCATTGATTGCGGGTGACCCGACCAGGCAGCCAAACAGAGTCACACACCTCGGAGCATCTCATCAAAATCGGCCACTGCAGCAGCGAAGAGCACCAAGCACCCACAGCCCCCACCACAGCCAGCCAGCCAGCCAGCCAGCCATGAGGACGAGAAGATCTCTATTCACACAGACAGACATACAGAGATGGAGGGGGAGGGGGAGGGAGAGACGCACGGACAAAAAGCAGAGCCACAGCCTAACTGACGCGACGCGTCATCAGGGGCATATGGTAACTCCTGGTCATCCCAGATCCGAGGCGAGTGAGTGGTACACCGACCACCATTCGGCCTGCGCGCACACGGACCGGCCCGGCCATAGAGACGCCAAGAAACCCTCCTGATAACACACACACACAACGCCTTTAGGATGACCGAACCATTCATCGGCTTCGCGCGTGGCATTTCTGTGGCGTACCAGAGCTTATTGACCGCTCAATCAGACAGCATCACCTGTCGAGTGCACAGGGAGGGACACACTTATGTGCTGTGTGCCTTCCCTCCCTCCTAGAGACCTGCACTGCCCTCATCATCGCTGCCATCGTCGGAAGCTACCACGACAGATAACACACAACCACACACAACACAAGCCACCTCGTGCGGTCCATCCGGCGCCTGCTTGTGTTTGCCCGTGTCCCTACCGTCGTCACGTCATCATCATTCTACTTGTCCGTCGAAGACGTATGGCGCCACTGGCCCCAACGCCATACGGGCCAGCTGAGTGGTCACGGGGAAGCGGTCCTTAAAGGCACTGCTCGCACACACTACGGGCGCCTCGGTCGTCCAGACGTCAACCCACGCTGCAGGCAAACAACACAACCACAGAGAGGACGTCAGCAACATCTAACTTAGCGGCTAAGGCTGAGCTCACCGTCTGCCGACCTGACTGACCTGAGGCACCTCGCGATGGTCTCCACACGTAAATCCATGCGACGAAGTCGTGTGTGCCGTCGGTGACCACCAGCCGCCGCATGTCACCGTCCCAGCTCATTGTGGTGGTGCATCCGGCCACTGGTGTGTGGGGCGACTGGGCGAGGAGGCCATCTAGACGGCCCCCACCAACACGCCTGAACCAACCACACACACACACACACACACAATCGAAGGCGCACCCCTCTCGCCACTGGTGCCATTGACGTGGTGTTACCTGCTGAGTGATATCGATGTGCTATTGATCTGGTGAGTCTTGAAGAAGTGGCGGAGGATCACACGCTTGACGAAGGACGACAGTGACGCATCGGTGTACGGGAGACCCAACGACTGCCATCCGCCCAAGTAGTAGATGCGGCTGTGCACTGGTGGGTCATGCTCTAGTCGGTGCTGCTGATACAGATGGTGGGCAGGGAGGGGCGGGTTGATAGTCAGCTGAAAGACGGGGTCGTCCTCGATGGCCCTCATCTCACTATCGCCATAACGGAAGATCTGCAGGCAGCTGCCGTCGCGGAAGTCCACATGGCGGCCGACCACCATGAGCTGCGCCAACACACGAGCTACTGAGCTATACGCCTACACCACACACACACAGACAGACAGACAGACAGACAGACAGACAGACAGAGAGCGAGAGAGAGAGAGGAATGAGTGCACCTCCCTCCCCCCGCCCCTGTGTGTGTGCCTTACCGTCTTGCTGGCGTGTGCGTTGATGTCATCAGCTGTGAGGATGACAGGCAGCTTACAGTAGCCGCACTGCCCCGCCAGCTCAATGACCACGCCGATCTCCACCCAGCTCCCCTCCTCCATCACACACACAGCCGCCAGCAGGTCACACACCTCGAACTGCTCATCGTCGAACCGCACCAGCTGCACTTGCTGCCCGTTGACCAGCCGCCGCAGCCCCGCCTGTGAGCCGACAGAGTGGCGGAGCCGATCTCGCAGCTGGGCCGCTCCGAAGAGATCTCTGAGCCATGTGCAGGTGGCTCTCAGCTGGAGTATGTCCGTGAGGCTGAGGAGATAGAAGCTGCGGCGACCAACCAAGATGTACGAGAAGGGATGCTGGTCATGTTGTTGCTGCTGCTGCATCTGCATGCCGCTCAGCGAGAGAGCGGTTTCACGGAATGCAGCGCGGTGCGAGCTGCGTGGGGCTTCAGGGTTTGAAACCCTCAAAACATAAGGAGCGAGCAGGAAAAGGAAAACAGCCGGAATCTTTTGTCCCTAAGAAGCCATGTCGTCGACTCATCTCCATGCCGGCAGTGCTCACGTTGTGAGCTGCACGACGACAGCCCGAGCTTTGTGGCTGAAGCTGCAGTCCATCCTCTACAAGGACACCAAAGGCAACACCAGGAAGTAAGCCGGGCGGGCAGATCGGGACGAAAACGTGACGCACCAGCAGCCAAGATCCATCCCTTCTCATATCGTCTGCGCATCTTTGTTGTGTGTGTGTGCAGATGGGACAGGTGCTGACTTCATGGCTGTTTGATGGATGGGCTTACACGTGCACACTCATCCCATCGTTCATTGTCTGCCTCTCCCTGGTGTGGTTTCCAACATGCATTCATTCATTCGACGTGCAGCTGCGCGCGGACCACTGCTGCCGAGCGGCGTGGTGAGGCTGTGGACGAGGAGGGTCCGGACACCAAGGCGCACTCGGGTGCCGATGCAGTGGCTGTGGTCGCTCTCCTCACTAGCCACACGGAAAACCCCAAACTCCTGTTCGTGGTGAGACAGACGATGAGATACAAGAAGACGACATGTGTTTCTTCTGTTGTCTGGATGGATGTGTGTACCAAATTGATCGTCGTCTCATCTCGATGCAGAAGCAGTTCCGCCCGCCGGTCAATGCGTACACCATTGAGTTCCCCGCCGGCCTCATCGACCCTGGTAGGCAGACACGCACGCACACACACACACACGCACCGACACGCACACACAGAGAGAGCCAAGGACGTGGAAGCGGATCTCCCCGTTTGTCCGTTCCATCCATTATGCTTTCAGGCGAGACGCCCCTTCAGGCAGCGGTAAGCATGGCACAGACAGAAAGAGGGCGTCTGTCTGTGCAGCCGACGCACACACACCTGATTGGTTGGTTGGTTGGTTGTTGGTGTTGCGGCCCCCCCGTCAGCTGCGTGAGCTGAAGGAGGAAACAGGCTATATCGGCGAGCCGCTGGAGGGGTCGCGCATCGGCAACGATGTTGTGCACGTGTCGCCTGAGGTACGCTCCCTACGTCTGCACATGCACACATGGTTAAGGAGATGGACACACCGGCTGCATGCAGCTGTGTTTGAGTCCTGGCATGACGGCTGAGAGCATCCACGTGGTGACGCTGAAGGTCGACCTGGACGACGAGAAGAACCACCACCCAAAGCAAGAGTGAGGGAGTCAGGGAGGGAAGGAAGGAGTGCCGTCACTGAGCCCGTCTGTCACCTGTCTGGCTGCCTGGCGCTGTTCATGGTTCATCAGCTTGGACGAGGAGGAAGATATCGAGGTGCGGTTCAGCCATCCACACACACACACACGCACACACACACACACACAGAGGTGCCGGCATCTCTCTGTCTATCTGTCTGTCTATGTGTCTGTATGATTTGGTTCAGATCCTGCGGATCGAGGTGCCGTCTCTGCTGCGTGAGCTGGACGCCCTGGCGGGGGAGAACTACCGCATCTTCGACGGCGTGTACCTGTTCGCCTACGGCCTGGTCTTCTCAGGACTCGCCGACGCGCTGCACTCCGAGCACACAGAGGCCAAGGGCGGATAGATAGACAGACAGATCAACAGACAGACACACAGACATAGATGGGCCGACGGAGTGGACCGACACTTTGTGGAATTGTTGCAATGGTGTGTGCGAGAGTTGTTAGTGTAGGGTGTAGCTTTTGGACCAGGTAGCCAGGCTTTGGCGCGCTGCTTGTGCATAGCTATCGATAGCTATGGATGGACGGATGGATGGATGGCTAGATGGATGGATGGATGGACGTCTGTTTGCGCATGCCATGCACCAGGCCTGCACGAGAACCTCAACCAACCCATACCAGATCAGATCAACCTCTGCATGATGCACTCTCTCTCAGGAGGGAGCTGATTCAATCAACACACACACACACATGGACGCATCCGTAGTCAGCGAGGCCACCACGGTGTCTACACAGACACAACACAGCGTGCCCTCGGCCGCGCTACATATTTACACACATCTATCAGCAAGCCAGGCAGGCAGGCAGGCAGGCAGCTCTTACAAGTCCATCACGCCCCCTTGAGCGCCATCATGGCACCCTTCAAGTTGCCGGCGGCCATGGCCCTCTCCCTCTTCAGCTGCAGCTGGTGCTGCTGCCGCACCAGCAGCTGATCCACTATGGGCGGCCGGGGTATGTCGTCCTTCTTCCGTCTCTTGGCCAGCGGCTCCCCACTAGAATCCACTGCACCACCATCAGGCCAATACCTGACCCATACACACCCACAGACAGACAGACAGACAGACGTGACCCACAGGCACGGTGGCGATGTATGTCCGTCCCTCCGATCACCAGGTGAGTTTTCGGTGTGCGATGGCCTCGTGGCACTCGGCTCCGAAGTCCCTGTCGTGGAACCGCTGCGGCGGCGGGCGGTAGCGAAGGCCCATTGCCGTGAAGATCTCCTCCTCTGACAAACACACGAGTCGACACATCCATCCATCCATCCATCCAATGCGCCCACATACCTGTCTCGCACGGGATGGGGGGCCCCTCATGCGTCTGCACACAGACAGCCAGAGAGGCGCCGTGCATTCAGCTAGTCGCGTGTGGGTGCATCCATCGTCGCTCAGCGCATGTCTGCCTGTCTGTCTGTCTGCCTGTCTGCCTGCCTGCCTGCCTGTCTGCCTCGCTCACTCACGAGGTTCCGCGATTGGCCGCTGCGGCGAGCCCCCTAACACACACACACACACACACACACACATGCACAGGTGTGCAGGGAGAGACGGCCTTTTGCCTGCTATGCCTGCCTGTTTGCTGCCGGTGGCCTCGATCACTTTGGCCAGCTTGTGCTGCGTCAGCTGCAGACCCATCTTGTCGGCGTGTGTGCGCATCGTTATGTTGAACTGGGCCGACCCTGCACATATATAATGGCATGCATGTATCCGGACGGAGAGATGAGATGGACGGATGGTGTGTGTCGTCTGTGAGTGACCCACCCAGCCACCCCCCCCAATCACCGGTGCAGTGCAGCAGTGCGAAGGCATACTCAGACCGGTGCTGCATCTGCACGCAGAGAGGACAAAACAATGCCGTCCATCCATCAATCCATCAATCCATCCATCCCCTTCTCTCCCCGCCTCACTCACCCACATATCGATCCGCCGCAGAGGCCCTCCCTTGCGCGGCCGGCAGACGCCGTAGAAAGTGACCGACTTGTGCTCTGACTTGGCGCCGAATCCACACCCCGGCGACAGCACTAGCGTGTCCGTCATGAAGCCGTCATGGCTCAGACTGCATAGCATATACCAATCAGAGAAAGGTACACACCGACCCACAAGGAGCGTCTGTGTGGGGTGAGTGGGTGGTGGGCGTGTCTGCCACCGTTCTACCTGTCTACAATCCGATTCACTTCGTCAGCAACCTCCCTGTCATCCTTCAGACAGATGGATGGACGGATGGGACAGCAGCAACACCACAGCACACCACACCACGGAACCCCTCTCCACGTGTGTGTGAGAGTGTTCGTGTGTGTCTTGTGTGCTGTGTGTACGTGTCTGGTAATCAGGAAATCGATGTCCTTCGTCTGGGCATCGCCGCGGCGGTAGGAGCCGGTCAGGACGATGTGCAGCTCACCTGGATACAACCGCTCAGCCACACTACACACCTGTATGTATGGATGCACACCAACCACCACCACACGCAAGACAACACCCATACATCCATCCCCGTGTGCTGTGCTGTGCAGTGCAGCGCTGTGCATGTGATCCACGGGAGCCCACCTGCTGGTGCGCCTCCTCCACCTCTGCTCGCGTCATCTTCTTCTGGAAATCCTCGACGTACTTGAGGCAGCGCTGACCGACCGACCGACCGACCGACCGACCGACCGGCCAAACAGACAGACAGACAGACAGACATCCTGCCATGTGTGTGGAAGCGGCGACAACACGCGCGTCCATCGGTCCACCCACCCACCCCACCCACTCACTCACGCACTCACCCGTTGTAGGTCGGTCGACAGGTACTCAGGGTGCCTCTTCACGTCAGCCAACGTGCGCAGGCCTGCAACAGCCATCCATCCACCGATGTATGAGCATCGTTTCGACACGATTGTGGACATGTTCATTGCTCCCTGCCTCTGGCTCACCTCGCCTATACAGCTTGTTGCTCTCCGCGGCGCCGACATGCCATATCTGCTGGAACTCCATGAAGGCCTTCGTGCGCTCGTCCGACTACGTACGTGGTCATTCAGCACACAGCAAACGCAGCAGAGAAGCATGCAGGAGAAATCTCCCCTCACCCTCGCCCTCGCACTCTCCCTTACCAGCAGGTGTGCCAGCCGCTGCGAGGACCCCGTTCTGAAGAACTCATTCACCTGTAAGCACATGACGAAGGAAGGAACACATGGATCGGCGGCTCCCTCTAAGCCGACGCATGCACTGACCTTCTCATCCGTCTTGGCGCCGTAGCACCCGCGCAGAGGGCGCAGGTCTTGCACCGACTCGATGGGCTCTGGCCACGTCGACACGATCTCCGAGATCCTGCTGTAATGCCGGTAGCGCTGAAAATCCTGACTCGGCTCGGTCGCTATGGCCTTGTACACACTCGACAGCTGCTTGAACATCTGCATATACACACATACACACAGACACACAGGCGGACGGGTGGACCCCTTACTGTCTTGCCTGTCTGCCTGCCTGCCACCCACCCACCTTCGCTAGGCGTCTGTTCCTCTCCATGCTAGGCCTGGTGTGGTGATACTCCTCCTCCTCACCACCACCACCATGTGCACTACACACCTCCATCTTGACCTCAGGGATGGACGCTTCCATCTTGACCGCCGGCACACGCGGCACCGTAGCACCACCACTAGCAGCAAGGGCGAGGGGGAGAGGGGGGTCGGGAGGGGTGAGGGGAGGGGAGGGGGGCGGGGGGCTCTGCGTCGGGGTGGCCTGGCGGGACAACGCTGGACTGCTGGCGACGCTGTGGTAGGGGAACTGGTGGTCTGGACACAGAGAAAGTCTGGACGCATGTCTGTCCGTGTGGTGGTGTATACGCACCTTTTTCGTTGAGCCTCTGCTTTTTCTTGATCGAGTCTGTCACCCAACCGTCGGTGACCACGTGCAGCCGAGCTATCATGGCCTCGCTGATGTCATGCCGCCCCAGATAGCGAAGAAACGACTGCATATATGAACAAACAAAGTACAACCCATCGAAAGAACCGACTCATACAAATGGCCCCCGTCCGCCTTGTGGTGTCTGCTCACATCGCTGTTGACACTCCTCGCAACAATGAGGTGCGTCACGACGGGGTTCATGACGCGCTCGTCGTCTTGCTCGAGATCAATGACATCGTTGTCATCCTCCTCCTGCTGTGTGAGATCTCCGCTGAATATCACGGTGAGCTGGTCCTCCACTCTCCCTCCCATTTCGAGGACGCGTGGCTTCATCAATTTCGTGGCCCGTGCCGACAGCCCGTCCATCGGCACAAAGAACAGGCAACACGAGGCGAAGATGGAGGACGGCTCACGCTGCGACATGGGACGACCCTACTCGGCAGACTGTGTGAGAAAGCGTCACCTGTCAGGGACAATCCTTGAGGCCGATCGCTTACAACCCTGGCGGTTTCACGACAGAGCTACCCGAGAGCCCTTCAGACACTCAGTGAGATCCAGGAGCGGGGCAAGCGTCATGAAGGGAGGTGCTGCGCTACAACTTGGCAGACTGGGCAACCAGCTGTACAATCAGGGCCAGTTTCCCGAGGCGCACAACACGTACCAGGATGCCCTGCAGCGCTTGCCGACGACCGACACAGCCAACAGAGCCGTCATTCTCGCCAGTAAGCAGCCACTGCTTGGAACAATGCACACATGATGTCTGTCTGTGTGGCTATGCTTCACACAGACAAGGGCGCGTGTCTGATGCATCAAGGCCATCTGTCGGTGGCGCTGGACGATTTCAGCGCGGCGCTGGAGGCCAACCCAAAGCTGGTGAAGGCATGGGCACGGAAGGCTACTGTGCTAATACGACAGGTACGGATACGGCAAAGAGAACAGCAGGCATGTTGAACTGCTGCTTTATACTTGCGTGCTTCAGAAGAAATACCCGGTTGCTGTTACGACGCTGCAAGACGGTCTTAAAGCGTGAGCTGGCGTGAGAAAAGCCATTACATGTTGCCATTCTCTCTAGTGTTGTCGCTGTCTATCCATGTTGTGTGCCGTCAGACTTCCTGAAAACAAACAGCTATACGCCTTCTACTTACGGCCCAGGAGTTCTTACAATTGGGTCCGATATGGGGCGCTGAGGCGACGCTGCATATCACAGAAAGCCCTATGACGAAAGGGAAGATCCGTCGAGCATTTGAGGGCCTCATGGCTACACCAGAAGCACGCGAGAAGATCGGGCATGCATTTGACTATTTTGAGACTCTGGAGGGGCAGTATTTCGATAGCTTGTCAACGGCGGACCGGCAGAAGCTATGCGCGGGAGAGGACAAGTCGGTGGCAGAAATCATCAAGCAGATGAGCCTGGTGGGAGAATTATTGCTACTGCTTGTCGGTATCAAACCGTGTGTCCTGATCCATGTGTACAAGTAAGGCATGACAGAACGAGGGATGGGGCTTAGCTAAAGATTGTTGTACGTGTGTGTCCTGTGCTGTATGTGCAGGTGTCCTGATTATGCAAGAGGCATCGTTGAGAGAGCGTTCCGTCCATTTCTAGAGGCGACAAAGATTGACGGGATTGAGATGGAGCTGCACGAAATCACCCACGAGATGCGCACCACAAGCTATACCCTTACAGCGGGCCAACCTGAGCGGCACACTGGATTCAAAGTGTGATATGATCAGCGCTTGTTGGCATGCATGGCTTGCCGGAATCTGTGTGGTGGTATGTGTGTGTGTCAGGGTGGTTGGATATTGGCGAATCGGAAGCACCCCCGATATAGTCATGTAAGGCGGACTTTCTACGAGGCCAAAGAGTATACAGTGATCGCAGAGGCTGTTGGGCTGGCGCTGGGGTATCCCGGGACGTACGAGGCGTTAGAGGACGAACCGTTCAAAGTCAGAGTATTCTATAATGGCAAACGCGTTGGTAGCGATGCGCCTCAGAAGCATGTATGTCTTTGAGACACTTACGCATATCGTAGCTGTGCACGAATACTGATGTCTGTACGTTGTTGCTATGCAGTATTTGGAGTATGATGTGCACCCGAGTGAGATGAAGTGCGGTGAGTGGCATTTTGAGTGCTGCCAAATGGCGTGTGAGGGCATCGTCGAGCTCGAAGTGGACTTTCCTGACTATAACATCGATGACAGTGACGGAGAAGACGACGAGGATGAGGATGAGGACGGGGACGAGGATGATGATGGTTATGATGATGACGATGAGCTGTTTTAAGAACGCATAGCTGCTATGATTCAGTTGTATGTGTATGTGTATGTGCGCGTGGACGTCGCATTCATATCCATCAGCGATGGTGCTTATGAGCGAATAACGTGATGCGTCAGTGAGAAGTCAGTGGTGCGGACGTACCTATGCGGACAACACATGCGATTGATGAGAATTGAAATGCTGCCTCTCTGATGAGAATTAGATGAGGAGAGCTGAGTGGTGGAGTCACTAAGTGAAGGCCGCCTTTGCTTTGGGCAGGAATCGTATCATACGGGCTTCCAGGTAGAGTGTCGGTAGTCGAAACGATCTACCTTCCCTTCACCTCACGTGTGATCGTACGTGTCTCTCTGTGTACACCATGATTGATGGGCTGATTCATTGTTCAAGCATCATCGTACTCAATGACACACACAGTGGGGCATTATCGTATGTCCACACACGAATGGACGCACTCATCCATCCATCCAATCATCCATCCATGTGTGCAATGACGTAGGCAGCAAGCAGCTGGTGGACAGCATACACTCACCAGACAGGCACAGGAACACATACCAACCGACCCCTCCCTACCTGCCAATGTCTATTCACATAGTGTTCACACCAGCACCCAGCACCTCTAGTTGACAAACAAGCCCATATTCACAAAACGAAGGAGCATCCACTCCACTCTCCCCCTCCCCCTCCCCCTGCTTAAGCCCACCCATTCCTCTGCTCGAAGTTGCAGCCAAAGGTCATGAAGTCGTTGCAGCTGACCGGATCGATGCCCAGCATCTGATCCCTCGTGGGGTCGAACAAGTTGGCAGTCGATACCGCAGGACTATTACACGGATCGTAGCCACCTTCAACCCCCGTCTGCCACTGGCAGTTCTGCGCGCGGCGGCGATTCAGCCCCCGCCCGATGCGCGCCGTGCCGCACCCACCGGCGGGGCAGTCGTCGAGCCGGCGGTCCGAGTCGACGGCTGATATGGGGCCGCCAAACGCGCCGTCGAATGCCGAGCCAGGGCCGAAAAAGGCTCCCCCCTGAAGGGCCCTTTGGCGCAGGTTATGGCTGCTGCTGCTGCTGGTCGTGGTGGTGTCCGTGTTGGTGTTGGTGCGGTTGGGTGAGGCGGGCACCTTGAAGGTGGTGAAGCGCGCCTGATGCAGCACCTGACCACCGTTGGCTCCGTAGAGGACCAGACCATCTGAATGAATGAAGGACCAGACAGACAGACAGACAGACAGCCAGACGAAAGAGGTGTGTGGACTGTGGATGTGTGTGAGTGTGTGTGTGTGATCGTGTGTGCTCACTGATGTAGAGCTCGAGAATGAAGCCGCCGAAGTAGACGGTCATGGCGGGGCCAGTTGACTCCTGCTGGCTCTCGCCCTTGCGGCCCTTCCGCACGATGCCTGTCACCAGGCCGTAGAACTGACCATTCCATCCATCCACACACACACAGAGAGAGAGAGAGAGAGCAAGTAACATCAATGCTTGTTGTGCCCACCCAGCCATCCGTCGGCGTACCTCATCGCCGTTCTTGAAGTTGAGGACGATGCTCTCGATTGTGCTGACGGCGGAGAGGTCCACCCACATGAGGTCCTCAATGGCCAGATGGTGGTAATGCGGGGCCGTCCTCACAGGCGTGTACTGCTCGTCGTCTGTCCGCCACACACCGTAATCGTCCACTGATGTGTCGGTGTTGCTTGACACAGCTGGCGGCGGGGTAGTGGACGACCTGGTGATGGAGACATACGCACACAGAACACAGGCAGCATGAGCGCACAAGACAAAGAGAGAAAGAGCGAGAGATCTGCGTACTGGATGTGTGCGGCCTGTACTGCAACAAGGAAGAGGAGGGATCTCGCGGAGTGATTCATGAGGATGACGGCAGACGGCTGTTAACGGAGGGAATCTGACAACTTGATGCGGATGCGCAGATGTGGCAAACGACAATTCGATGCGATGCATCCTCTCTCAGTTTGGCTTTCGACTCAGCCTCTCAGTGCCTCTCAATAAGCCTCTTCTCCACTTCTCAAACCGGTAACCCTAGGGGTAAGGGTTTCAAACCCTAACCCTGGAGTTTCATCGTGAAGGCCTGAATGAATCCATATTATTCGTGGTTTCCACCATTCGTGGTCTCTCCCCCCTCCCTCTCCACCCTGCCCCTCTCCAAAATGTCACCCCGCACACACACACACGCATGCACTCACACATGCACACGCATACACACAGCACTGATCGTACCGTAGTATAGTCAGTGAGTGAATAAGTATACAGAGGGAGGAATAGGAATGTGTGTGTCTTTATATACACAGTGCACAGACAGACAGACAGACAGACAGACAGACAGACAGATAGACGAACCGACGAGGCGCGCTGTACGTCCCTTCTGCATGTCTGTACAAAACGGGTACACGTGTGTCGTGTCAGGTCGGTCACCCGTGTGACAAATGAGCTGCTTAAAACGGTCGGAGGCAGAGAGATGAGTGGATGGGCGGGCTCACGCCACGCCACACTCCACCCACCATCCATACAGAGCTAGACGCAATACCAATACACGCACTCTCAGAGAGAGAGAGAGAGAATCAAGCCAGGGGGTGGATCGGACAATGCGTCGCATCCCCGTCACCCTCACCGACCTCCTCCCCCTGTCCCCCGCCAATCCGATCTATTCTACCTGCTCACTGGCTCCATCCATCCATCCAGCCATCCATCCCATGCTAACACAAGAGGGGGCCAGCCTACGCGCCATCCAACCCGCCCGACCTCGGTCCAATTCACAATCCCCCAATTACCATTCCACTACCGTGGCTTCCCCGCCCCGCCCCCGCCGCCGCCCCCTCCTCGAGACACTTGCAGCCATGGTGGCCGTAGTCGTTGACATGCGCCTCCACAAGAGGCGGCAGGTCGTGACGCAGCCTCCGGTTGCAGCTCATCTGGCGCAGCTCCATCAGGCGCCGCTGCTGCGTGTCCGGGAGGGAGAGGGGGGCGGTCAGGTGGCGGAACACCCGGTTGGTGCGGCACTTGCTGAGGAAATCACGGATGGCGTTCTCCAGGCCCTTGTGGCAGTGGGGACGCTGAGAGAAGACAAGAGAGACAGGGTCGGCTGGAGAGTGGGTGGAAGTGGTGTGATATTGTCTTACGTCGGCTCGCGGAAGTCTGATGAGCCAGTGTGCGACGAAGAGGGCCACGCACTCGACGTCACGCATGCGGCCGTAAAAGATCTTCCGCCCGCGTGGCTGATTGATCCATACATCCATCCATCCATCCACAGACACACAGCAGCATGATGCACAAGCGGTCATCACATCTCGTCTCGTCTCGGCTCGTCTCACCTGCTGCTCAGGTCGGGCGAACTTGGGCCCGGCGGCTATCACCTCACGCCAGCGATCCTCCGTGGCGAACACCAACACACGCTGACATCCATCCATCCATACCAGCACAACACATACACAGAAAACAAAGGAGCTTTGTCGCGCGAGAGTGAATCGATGCCGCCGGCCTCCTTATTCACCTTGGTGCTGTCTGGGCCCGCGAGTTTGACGAGCTCCCACCTCTTGTGCAGCCAGCACAGCAGCTCCTTAGCCGAGAAGTACCTCAACAGCGGCACCTGCACCACAGCATACATGACACCATGATGAGGAAACAGAGATGCCCCCGCCCATCCGTCCGTCCATCCACGTGACTCACCAGTGGCTGGTAGGCGTAGCGATTGGTCTGCCTCTGCCGGATGCCCTCACTCAGCAAATTCGATGGGCAGAACATCGGCCCCCCGGGGCACCTGCCCGCCGCCAAACGGGCCCTTCGACCCCTACTGCGCCACGCCTTGCCGACCCCACGAGACACGCCAACACCAACACGACCACTGCCACTACCACCTTTCCCAACACCACCCCTGGCGACACCGCCCCTTGCCTGCCCATCCTCCCGTGTGGATGAGAACGCAGCGATGGGGTGATCCGCTGTGATGGGATGCCGCAGCCCCTTGAGCCGTGCCGGTGTGGAGGGCGCCGTGCCCTGCTGAGGCCGCAACACGGTCATCTTTCTCGCCGGGACAAGCGGCTTGGTCGCGCTGCTGCCCGTGGTGGTGGTGGCGGTGGCGGTGGTCCTGCCGGTGGTGGTGGCCTTTGGCTGTGTCTGCGTGGAGGCGTGCTGCTTGTGGTTGGACAGCAGTGGCGTCGACACGGCGGATGCGTTCTTGTGGGTGAGGGGGCTGGGCGGCGCACTCTGGCTGGACGGCCGCAGACGCGCACCCCCACGGCCGTCCCGACCAAAGGGGCCGGGCGGTGTGCCCTCGATCGGTGCGTCAGCAGATGCACGTGTGGGCGCCGCCACGAGGGGTCGCTTCCGCTCACGGGCGTCGAGGACGGGCAGTGGGGGCTCGATCGCTTCACACACCGACGGAAGGCCAGCAGGGCGGGATGGAGAGGTGTCTACAGGCAGTGTCTCTGGTGGCGCCACCTTGACCCAGCGGCTGATGGGTGTCGGTTTGGTTGGGGGTGGCGGTGAGGGTGAGGGTGAGGGGTCGCCCCGCAGCAGGCTGGCGCGGATCTTGGAGAGGGTGCGCTTGATCTCGGTGCGGTTGATGCGCTTCTTGGACAGCGACACGAACCGATCCAACGCGCTCGCCGCCAACTCGAGTCGCGACTTGCGATCGGCAACGGTGCCTGGGGGTCATCCAGGCAGACAGACAGTGAGTGGCATTTGACCATCCTGTTTGTGGTGTGTGCGTATGTGTGGTGTGTCTGACCCTTGGACGCCCAGTTGAAGAGGAGTCGGGTCATGGGCTGCAGGGCGTCGATGCGGTTAGTGACGGGGCTCTCGAGCAGCGCCGAGACGGCCGCCTCGGTGAAGCTGCCCGCATACAGCCGCAGACGCGCTACGTCACGCACACGGTGGGCCATCATGCTAAGCAGCGGCGACTCTGACACGCACACACACGCACAGAGAAAGACATAGACAGAGACAGAGATCCATTCACGGCTAAAAGACCAACCAGTACGTTCTCTCAGCCTCTCCCTCTCTGTCTGTCCCTTCCCCTTCCTTACTGTGTCTGACAGTGCTGAACCAGTAGACTAACGCAGTGAGTGGCGGCTCCACCTCGAAGCTCAGCTTGGCGGCGTCACACACCACCTGGCAGTCGACCGAGTTGGCCATCTCGCCAAGCCGCGGGACCATGGCCACAAACCGCCGCTGGATGTGCCGCAGACACATGGAGACCAGCGACAGCCGGCCGCCGACCAGTGGCTGCATGAAGGCCTCTACCTGGGCGGGGGTTAGGGTGGCCTGGGTGGTCTCGAAGAAGGCGCGGATGACCTCCTGCTGCCCCTCATGCACCGCCCACAGCACCAGCCTCGCATGCTCCTTCGAGTTGCCGTCATACGATGAGCTTATGTACAGGTGGTCCTCGGGCAACAGCGAGTCGACCACTTTCGCGTCGGTCACCATCCTCCCATCGCGGGCGCGCCATATGCCCCACAGCTGGCCTCTCGAGCCCTGGGTTAGACCGCTCGGCCCGAAACTGCTGCCCAGAAGGCATCTCAGCGTGGCCGAGGCGTCTCGCCTGATGCTGACTCGCCGCTCGTGGGACTGCAGAGTGGTGAGATGGGTGATGCGAATCGTAATGGTGCGGTCATCGTCGCGCCGACGCGGAATGGCGCTATTGGGAATCTTGCGGCTCATGTTGGTCGTTTCTCGTCACCCATGGGGTCAGAAAAGGCTTGGTGCAAACCAGGAGGAGCATGCGAGCTCGGAGATCTTTGCACACAGAGCGGAACTGGGCTGTTACGGCGATATGGTGTGAGGCGGTCGACTTCTGTTGCCTGCCTTTCGAAGATAGCTGCGGCCATGTCAGGCGGCCATTTATCCAAGGAGTTCTTCGAGCTCGTCAAGTCCATCGGCGAGTCGAGGTCAAAGCAGGTGCCTGACGACACATCACAGCAGAATACGATGCGCAGATGAGATAGGATGCACAGCCACAGCCACAGCCACAATCACAGTCACAGTCACAGTCACAATTAGACAGACAGATGCTGTCTAATTGAATCACTGTTTGCGTGTCTGTCTGCTTGTCTGCTTGTCTGTTTGATTGTATGCAGGAGGAGGACAAGATCATTGTGAGTGAGATGGCCATCCTCAAGTCAAGGCTCAATGAGCCACAAGTGGCGCCCGTACGTCGTCACTCACAGACAGACAGACGAACAGAGGGCCATGTCTGTCTGTCCGTATGCACACGTATGTCTGAATGGGCATGTGTGTGTGTGTTCAGAAGAAGATGAAGGAGTATTTGGTTCGTGCTTTATACGTGGAGATGCTGGGCCACGACGCCTCCTTCGCCTACATCAAGGCCATCAACCTCACCAACGACCGGAACCTCATCTGCAAGAAAATGGGTATACAAGCCAACAGAACAGATCAGAGGAGAGAAGACAATTAAGAGATGCCCGCGGCCTAACACTGACTGACGTGTTGTGATGTGATGTGATGTGATGTGATGTGATGTGTTGCAGGCTATCTCGCCTGCAATCTGTGCCTCCATCGGGACCACGAGTTGATGCTCCTGCTCATCAACACCATTCAAAGGGTCAGCAACGCACCCCAGCACACACACACACATGACACACACATGAAGCACACAGAACAGAGGCAGTGTTCACGTGTGCACGTGTGCAGGATCTGAGCAGCGCCAACCACCTGGAGGTGTGTTCTGCCCTGACGTGCATCAGCCGGCTGGTCAACCACGAGATGATCCCCGCCATCTTCCCCCAGATACTCAAACTCATGAGCCACACTAACGAGGCCGTACGGAAGAAGGCCTGCATGGCCCTGCACAAGCTGTACAAGCTGCAGCCAGATGTCATCCAGGAGGCAAGGGACCACATCAGGTCAGACAGACTGCTCGGGCCGGGCGGCGGTGATGTTTCGGGGCGGGGCGTTCGCGTGACTGACATTTTCGTTCGTGTGTGTGCAGGCGGGCGCTGTGTGACCCTGACCCTTCGGTGATGGGTTCGTCGCTGCACCTCATCCACGACCTGGCCAAGACCAACCCCGGCTCATGCAAGGTGAGAAAGACAGGTGTCATGATCGATGACAACCATACATAACACACACTGCACGGCCTCACGCACGCACACACAGACAGACGGAAGAATTGTGTATGTATGGCCGTGCCGTGTGTGTGTACACATCAGGACTTGGTGCCGAGCTTGGTGAGCATCTTGAAGCAGGTCACTGAGCACCGGCTGCCGAGGGACTTCGACTACCACAGGATGCCCGCACCATGGCTGCAGGCAACACACCAAACCACCAAACCACCCCTCCATCGGATGAGTCCGTCCACGTGTGCGTGTGTGTTGGCGTGTGTGTGCAGGTGAAGCTGCTGTCGATGTTGGCGACGTTGGGTCATGCGGATCAGAAGGCGTCTGAGCAGATGTACGAGCTGCTGCAGGAGGTGATGCGTCGGGCGGACAGCGGTGTGAACGTGGGCTACGCCATCATCTTCGAGTGCGTCAAGACCATCACATCGATATACCCTTCGCACAACCTCCTGGAGATCGCTGCCTCGTCCATCTCAAGGTGGGCCCGTCTGTGTGTGCATGTTCACCGATGGATGGATGTAGCTCGTCTCGTGTGTGGCGTGTGGTGTGTGTGGTTTAAATGTCAGGTTTATATCGGCTGACAACCATAACCTCAAATATGTGGGCGTGACGGGCCTCGCAGCCATCGTGCAGGTACCTTCACCCACCCTCCCTCCCCCTCCCCCTCACCGTCCCCCACACCCACGAGGACACGTCGAGAGCGACGCATTCACGCGTGTCTGTGTGTGCCTATCTACCTTCATTGCTCCATCCATCAGGTGAACCCGATGTATGCGGCCCAGCACCAGCTGGTGGTGGTGGACTGTCTGGAGGACCCCGACGAGACCCTCAAGCGCAAGACGCTCGACCTGCTCTTCAAGATGACCAACCCACAAAACGTCACCGTCGTCGTCGAGAAACTGCTCTTCCACCTCAAGTAACTAGGCGGGCGAGGCACTTGAATTAGCTAGCCATAGCTATATGAATGGCCTGATACGAGCCGATGTGGTATGTATGATATCTCTCTCTCTGTGCGTGCGTGTGTGTGTGTGTGCCAGGGCGTCATCGGATCAGCATCTGAGGCGTGACCTGGTCTCCAAGATCACCCAACTCGCCGAAAAGTGCGCCGCGCTTCCAGACACGCAGACACTAACCCACATACGTGTCAACACACACACATACGTGTCAAGATGGATGGGTGTGTGTAGGTATGCGCCGAGCAACCAGTGGTACCTGGACACGCTGACGACTCTGTTTGAGCTGGGTGGCAACCTCATCGCCGACGACACGGCGTACAACCTCATGCGCCTCATTGCGGAGGGGCCCATCGGCGACGAAGAGCAGGACGAAGCATTCAGGTCAGCACAGCCACCCTGGCCAGGCCACAGACAGACGGCCAGGCATATGGGAGGGAGTGGACATTATTGTCATATATAATGGAGGAGTGTATGTATGGATGGATGTGTCCCTCAGGCGTTATGCGGTCAACACGTATTTGAAGATCCTGGAGAAGGCGACCAACCCTCCCGACATCCTCATGCAGGTCAGCAAGGCACAGCAAGGCACAGCAAGGCACAGCAAGGCACAGCACCCCAAGCACCCACTCAAACAGACGCCAGTTGACACGTCTGTCTATCTAAATGTATGTATCTTGTGTCCGTGGGTTGTGTGAGGCCTGGCCTGCAGGTGATTGGTTGGGTGTTGGGTGAGTACGGTGTGTTGGCGACGGTCGAGGGCTACACCCTCGAGGATATACTCGACCTGCTCTGCGACGCCATCGACAGGTGTGTGGTGTGGTGTGGAAACAAGGAATACACAGATGGATGGATGGATGGATGGGTCGGATGACTGACCGTTCACCTCTCTGTATCTTGTGTGTGTGTGTGTGTTTTTCAGGACCTTTGAGGACTCCGCCACTCGCGGCTGGATTCTTGCCGCCATCACCAAGCTTGTCGGACAGGTCACACCACACACAATCACAGACAGTGGATGAATGGATGGATGGATGGCCGAGTGAATGTGCACACCTCCCACGACCGTCTGTCTCTTCTCCTCTCTCTCTTGTGTGTGTGCAGAACGCCCTGTGGCACTCAGCAGGGGTGAAGGAGGTGCTGCAGCGGTACCGCAGCTCCCAGTCCACCGACATCCAGCAGAGGTGCTACGAGCTCGAAAGGCTGCTCGCCAACCCACAACTCATGAGGTACACACCACACGTTGGGCAGATAGGTGGGTGCATCCACCTATCTATGCCTATGCGCGCGTGTGTGTGTGTGTGTGTCTGTGTGCGTGTGTGGTATTTATGTGTTCAGGGACGTGCTGCCCTATGACGCCTCCTGTGAGGACGTGCAAGTCGATGAGGACCTCTCATTCCTTGACGTCAGTCAGTCACCCAGCCACCGACCCGCGCCACACCGCACACATATTCGACCTACCTTTGGTGTCTGTCTGTTTGTGTCTGTGTCTTGTTTTCGCTAAACAGGATTTCGTTCAGAAGGCCGTAGGTGAGGGCGCTAAGTCGTACGTGCCCCCAAGCGAACGCAAGAAGACCGTCCCCCAAGCCCTGCACTCACCACAGCACGTACGTCCGTAAACCCACCAGCCATATAATAAAAGAATGGCGACATAAATCACCACACACACAACCCAGCCACCATCCATCATCCTCTCCCTCTCTCCCTCCTCCCCCCACCATACCAGGCCACCCACGCGACATTGGGTCTGAATTTCACGCCCTACGAGGCGCCGCAGAAGCCCATGCGTGCCTTTCAGCTGCCGGGCGCCGCCGACGCCAGCCAGCCGGCCGGGGCAGCTGGTGGGTCGCCGCCACTCGCCACCACACTTGACAAACCTGCCAACGGCCGCTTCGGGCCGTCTGGTGGTGCTACTGACCAGGGCGGCGCCGCAGCAAAAGCCACGGGCCTGCAGGTGTCAGGTGAGTGAACGAGGGAGCCGAATGGTCTTGACGTAGTATCTGTCTGTCTGTCTGTCTGTGTGTCAGGTCCGCGAAGGTGGGGCCCTCAGGGGTATATTGGTGCCGACGCCAGGCAAGCGCAGCCGCAGGCAGCACAGCAGGACAGCAAGGCCAAGCCTCCGACTGTGGCAGCCGTCGTGTCGCCCACACGACCATTCGGCGGGCCAGCACTCGGTGCGCAAGAGGCGGCCCAGCCGAAAGCCGCGGCAGCGAGGGAGCTCACAGAAAAGGAGAAGACCGCTGCGGCGCTCTTCAGCGGCCTCGGCCTAGGGGCTGGGGCAGCACCCACCGCCACCAGCCCCCCTCCGCCCCCATCCACTGTCCCCCACACACAGCCGGCACACCAGGTGCCAGGTGTTGGTCGGGGGGCTCTGCACGGCCAGAGGGTAGTTGTGGCTGAGCCGCCAGCCGCGCAGCCGACGTCGGCAGCCAGTGGTGGTGGGGGTGCCGATCTGGATGTGGACCTGCTGGACCTCTCGGACGGGTTTGTCGGCCCGACTTCTGCTTCCACGACCAGTGTCACGGGCGGCAAGGAGGGTCAGCCTGACGCTGCAGTCAGCGGCAGCCAACAGGCAGACCAGATGGACATCCTCTCGCTCGATGTGCCGGTGGCGCCGACGTTGAGTGCTGGTGTTGGTGTAAGTGCCGCTGCCTCGTCACCGCTTGTGCCGCTGCACTGGACCACTCAACAGGTAGGACGGTGGTGTGGTTGCCAGAGGGGAGGGGAGAGGTAGATCAATGGTGTCAATCCTTCTATGTGTTTCTGTGTGTTGTGTGTCTCACTCATGTGGTGTAGGTGGGGGGTCATTGGGGCACTTTAAAGCACGAGCAGCGGGTGTCGGTGGGCGGCGCCAGGGGCGTTTCCAGCTGTGCCGACCTCATGGATAAACTCAAGGTACGTCGGCCACTGATCAGACCAGCACCCACCCACCCACCCACCCACTGGTTCATTCTGCCTGTCCGTCCCATGCTATGCAGCACGCATTGAATATTTGTGTGGTCGAGATCATCGGCAGTGAGGGCATCGGAGCGGGCCAGCTGCCTTCGCTCGCCAACGCGCCGGTCTTCCTACACGGCAAGGTGGCCGCCGGTGGTCAGATCGACCTTATAGTCAGGGGGGACGACATCAAGTGAGTGAGCCTGGCAGCGCAGCGCACCGCGCCGCACACAAGCGACACGGTCGCATGTGTGGATGTGTGTGTGTGCAGGATGAACCAGCGCATTGCAGAGATGTGCAGGCAGGCCTTGCAGTGAGTGATTGATTGAGTGGTCGAGTGCTTTGGACCAGAAGGAGTGACACCCCTGCGTGGTCCCCTACCTTTGCGAGGGAGGCCTGTTGCCTCGCCTCAATTCATTGCGCCATGGCTGCATGCATGCATGGTGGATGGACGAACGGGATGGATCTTTATCGCGAAACGGCGAACAGTCACATAACCTGACGAATATGCCACGCTTCGTGGCGTTTTCGTATTGATGAATGAATCGTTGCACCATGATGTATTCGCGAGGTGATTGTGCCACTCCTGAGCCGGAACTGGCAGGGATGCACTTTAGTATATACATAACGGGCCCATTTTCGTAGAGCAGCGCACCCGAGCAAACACACGCGGAAAAAAGATTACTCACACACACACACACACACTGTCCGTCTGACTGACTTCCCTTCCTCCCTCTCCGTGAGCCTCATCCGGCCTGTTGCCTCAACGGCTGCAGGCTCTCCTCCCCCACCCCATTAGTACCACCGCGGTGTTCATCACGATTGCCACTCTGCTCTGGCTGCCGACATGGCGCCGTCCACCTCATGAGTGCCACCCCCAGCAATATGAGCACCAGGCCCGCCACCTGCCCCACTGTGACATACACGCCGCCCCACTGTGCAGACCGGCCGGCCAGCACCCCGCCCTCGACCGCCCCCACGACGGGAGTGATGTAGTCGACCACCATGGATTTGACGGCCCCCACCTGGCCGATGAGCAGGAACTGGCAGAGGTACACCAGAGAGGAGGCGGCCACACCCAAGTACAGCAGCGACACCCACACACCCAGATAGTCCTCAGCGTCTTGATGATCCAGGTCCACACGGCATAGCGCTGTGTTGCTGCTGCTGCTGCTGCTGTTGGTGGGTGTGCCACAGGGCATAGCTGGCGGGGCCAACGTGTCAAAGTGACGGTCGTCACCCTCACTACTATCATCACCACCGAAGCTCAGCAGCTGCATGAGGGTCTCCAGGGGCGACTCGACCGCAAGGGCCAGCGTCCACGCAATGGCAGACCCTATGGTTGTCTGAAGCCACGCCAGAGTGAGGAAGTGGAAGTGCGGCGTCACCTTTGCCTCGGCGAAGACGGCTGCCGAGGCCTTGCTCAACAGCGCAGCGGCCAGCAGCACCAGACCCAAGACAACGCTCGTGGCCGACGCTTCCGCCGCCGCCGCCCCTTGCCCTTTGCCGTGCTGATGCGGTAAGCCGTGCGTGGTCAAGGCCACCACTAATGTGACGCCGATGAAGCCGATGACGAGCCCGAAGACGTCCCTCTTGTCGTCTATGAGACCACTCTGCCACCTCAGTGGGCCGCGCCCCGCTGTCAGGGTGCGTGTGGCTGAGCGCGCCTCATGGTCCTCCTCCTCACCACCACCGTCATAAGGTGCTGGAGATAATGCGCCATCAGCCGGTGCGGCCTCCCTCATCTGTATAGCCCGGACAGTGGACGTGCCGCCCCGATGATGATGATGCCCACAAGTCAGCCAGCGCCACCCAGCGAGCAGCTTGAGCAACGATGCATAGAGAGGACCGGCACCAGACAGGATGGCCGCTGTGGTCACCGAGATGCCCTGCTTCATCGCCATGGGGTAGCAGCTGTACGGGACGATCTGGTTCATTATCGACAGCGCGACGACGCTCATGAGATGGGTGGAGGACGCGAGCGACTCCTGCCGCTCGCCTCGCCCCTGCGGCTGCCATAGTAGGAAGACCGACGTCAGCACCGCGCTGCCGATGGCGAGTCGGAAAGCCACAAGCGATAGCGGATCAATGGCATCCTTGAGGGTGTCTGTGAAGATGAAGGTGCTGCCGGCGATAATGCCCTGAACCACCACCAGAACGATGCACCAGGAAGATGATAAGCTCATCTCGTCATCGAGGCGTCAAGAGAAAGATGAACACTTGCAGCGGCCGTCATAGTGGATCTGGTGCATGCCGAAATGCACCCCAGTTCCCTCGCCTGCCTCTCGCAAGCTCTTGGGTCACAAAGCCGCTTTCATGTAAACGGTCAGTCCGCACACCACAACACACGAACATACCCACTGGCATACACATGCATCCATCCATCCATGTATGTATCACATCTTACCCCCCATGATTGAGTTGGTGATTTCTCGGCTGTTTCTCCTCCTTTTCGGATGAGCGAGCGTGTATCGGACTACACCCAACCCCCTCCACCTACCCTCATCCCGCGAGACGGCGGCGGGCCCCCCTGTTGCGCATGCAACGAGAAAGGGACGTCTGCGCTGTCCACATGCAGCCGACGATGTGACTGCC